CATAACTGCACATCTGAAAGTGTTGCGTCTCACTGATGCGGAAGACTTTGTTCGGTCCGCAGGGATCGTAGAAACAAACCCATAGATTCTAGGAACACTAGTATTTATGTAATTTGAGTGCGCGATGATGAGCTTTCCGCTTGCAGGATCTGTCCTGGGAGGATCAGGGCTACAGCTGCGTTGATGAGCTGTATAACGAAATGGCCGATATTCTGGATAAGAAATTCACGCTCACCCAAAGTCTTACTTATTTCACGTTAGTAATCCTTTCTTTGTGTAGTTTTTGCCGTTTTACTGTTGCAACCAAGGTTTACATAAACCAGTTCTCAGATGAGAATTACTTTGTTACAGGATGGGCGGATATAGCGATGTGGATACGAGTAAATATCGCAACGCCATCTGGATGTACATTCAGTCGCTCTACGGTAAGTCACTTCGTAAACAAATAAGTAAGATATCGTTCCAGAGAATTTCCAAGCGCAGCTGCACCGAATAGAGAAATAATAATGATGTCAATAATTGTAGTATGATAATAATGATAATAGTTATAATAATGATAATAATAAAGCAATAGTAATATGTATAGAGACAGGAAAGAAACATAACCATTAAGATAAATTTTTTAAAGAGAAATGTATATGGAATAGGAACAGTCAGGGTAAGACGTACCGGTCCAGTACTACATCAAACAGTTCAGCTTCTGCACCGGAAGACCGAGAACCAGGATAAGCAAAGTTTGAGATTCCATGAAAACCGCCAACGACTGGCAATAAAAAAGAGGATGAAAATTTCAGGTATCCGTCATGATGACTATAACTATGGGGAAGTGAATGTGATGTTGAGCCGCGAAATGAAGACATTCATCAAAACGATCTGCTGCTTTCCGGATCGAACCACCAGCGCTTTGCGGCAATCCGTCATGGTCGATTTTAAGTCTTCCGAAAAGGTCTGATGATAAACCCCAACCGAACCCCTCTTTTCTCGACATACCAATTCATTTTGAGGGG